TGTTTCACGCACCGGCACCATCTACTTTAAATGAAACATACTTATTTTCGTGAGGGATACTCACACACCATATACTTTTCTATTGAAATTTTTCCTGAATTTTCTTAGCTATAAACCTCCAACGAATGCAAAACCGTGGAAATCGGTTCGTGCGTTCTGGAGTTATAGCGTTAGGAAGGAAAACCCTACTTATTTTTATATTAATTTTTATATTAAAGAAGATTAAAGAACTGTCCGCATTACACAATTTTATTTTTCACAAAAACGGTATTCATGAATTTTTTAATTTTTTTTTTATTTGCTTCCGCATATTTTTGACATAACAGCTTTCATTTTATGCCCATATTAAACAAATACAGCCTAAGTTTACCCGGGTCCACGTTTTGGTCTGTATCTCGAGACCCTAGTCATCCAGCTATATGAAAAGTGCTCAATCTTAAAGCATTCATGAACAGCTTTAATTTGATACCAATATTAAACAAATACATCCTAAGGTTACCCGGGTCCACGTTTTGGTCTGTATCTCGAGACCCTCGTCACCCAGCTATATGAAAAGTGCTCAATCTTAAAGCATTCATGAACAGCTTTCATTTGATACCCATATTGAACAAATACACCCAAGGTTACCCAGGTCCACGTATTGGTCTATATCTCGAGACCCTAGTCACCCAGCTATATGAAAAATGCTCATTCTTAAAGCATTCATGAACGGCTTTCATTTGATACCCATATTGAACAAATACACCCAAGGTTACCCAGGTCCACGTTTTGGTCTATATCTCGAGACCCTAGTCACCCCGCTATATGAAAAGTGCTCTATCCTAAAGCATTCATGAACAGCTTTAATTTGATACCCATATTAAACAAATACATCCTAAGGTTACCCGGGTCCACGTTTTGGTCTGTATCTCGAGACCCTAGTCACCCAGCTATATGAAAAGTGCTCAATCTTAAAGCATTCATGAACAGCTTTCATTTGATACCCATATTGAACAAATACACCCAAGGTTACCCAGGTCCACGTTTTGGTCTATATCTCGAGACCCTAGTCACCCAGCTATATGAAAAGTGCTCAATCCTAAAGCATTCATGAACAGCTTTTATTTGATACCCATATTGAACAAATACACCCAAGGTTACCCAGGTCCACGTTTTGGTCTATATCTCGAGACCCTAGTTATTTTTTTTAAATTTTGCTACAAACCTCACGGAGCCCGAGCCCTTTCCAACGAATGCAAAACCGTGGGAATCGGTTCGGCGGTTCTTGAGTTATAAGATTACCAAGGAAATGTAACTTCTTTTTATATATATAGATTTCTCAGTCATACGACTTCGTTAGGGCGATCTGGAGTAGCTACAGAATTGAGTTGTATATCAGATTAAAGTGCAAGCTCTATAGGTTATCCAAAAATTGTCAGATATCAAATCGGTGAAGTAAGCGTTTAAACATTTTATTAACCGATTCTCAACATAATGCTTTACATTCTTACTGATACACTTACAGAATTGAAACTCCTTTTTTGGTTGTAGTTGATTGTACAATCAACTCATTTTAGCTCACCTCAACTCATCTTATATCAACTCAGGCCACTACAGCTCATCTCATTTTAGCTCACCAAACTCACTTCAACTAACCTCAACTCAACTCAACTCACCTCACCTTAACTAAACTTACCCTAGCATACCTCACTTAATATCACATCATATCATTGGATCATTTTACCTTACTTCAGCTTACCTTGAGGTGGCTCAACTCACATCAATACAATTCACTTCACCTCTTGTCACATCACATTAACCCAACGCGCCTCAACTGACTTAATTTTATCTCACCACAAACCAACTTCCTCAACTGCACCCATATCATTTCACCTCAACCCAATTTACCTCTATTCACTTCATATTACCTCATCTCAAATCACCTTAACCCACCTCCCATAATCTTGCCTCACCGTAGCTCACCTAGCTCATTTCACTACATCTTAAGTCACCTCAGCTCACCTTAACTCAGCTAAACTCACCCACCTCAACTCGGCTTAAATCACCTCAACCCACTTAAACTACCATCTACTCAATACACCTTAACTCACCTCACCCAACTCTATCTTCCCTCTATTTACCTTAACTCAATTCAGTTCACTTCACCTCAACTCACCAAAACTAAATTTAACCTAACTCACCTCACCTCATCTACACTCACACCAACTAGCCCCAATCCAATTAACTCAACTGATTTCACCTCAACTCAACTCAGCTCAACTGATGTATCTAATTAAATTTGTAAGTATTTCTTTACTTTCACCCGAATTTCGGGGGTATTACTAGTAAATCGTAAATTTTGTTTCACACGAACTACAATATTGAACAGCTAAATATATGTATTTTAATTTGTGCCAAATAAACACCGATATAGTTAAATGGTCAATCACATATAAAGGGGATTCACAAGACGTATTAAGCGTCGTAATGTGTTTAAGTCTTAAAATTTTTAAACGTAAAATAACGGCTAAAAAATATTTTTAAACTAGTAGGAAATATATTATTGGCTCTTATTACACCCAACGAATCTTTCAAAACGCTTTTAACCGTTACTTTAAATTTAACAATTTTAAGACTTTAAATATACAGTAAATTACACATCGAAATTTGTAAATCCATTGTTCAAATTGTGTCAGAAACAATCGCATCCGATATAGAAAACTGTAATAGTACTGGCTAGTTACAATGTGAAATAATCAGATGGCATAAATACACTAAAGATTTTAAAAATATATTCACTAAAATTGCATTAACCTAAATTTTAAGTTTTTGCGAAGTGGTTGTCGAATTTAATTAAAAATTTAAACATTTTTAAGATAAGATATGAATCTATATATATAAAGCGCTAAGGCTTTTTTGTTCCGCATAAAAGATCTGCAACGTTCGTTCGATTTTCAAAAATGGGGTGTCAAACTAAAGCGCTTGGCCTATAGATGTGCAAACTGGTTTTATTTTTTCGAAAAGAGTTGCCCCTGTTGAATTAAATCAAATTATTAATTAAAATCAAATTTTTCTGAAACGTCACAAAATAATTTGATAAGTTATTTTGCTCATAAACAAAACGAAATCGATTCATATAGTTTGTTGAGCATCTTTGATGGGAAATATTGCGCCTAAAAATATGCTCTACATACGCTACAGCGGAAATAGACAACGCGCCATTTCTTTAAATGAAATTAATTTGTGCTCGGATGTACCCAGCCAGCAAAGAAACGTAAATTTTGCCGACAGTGCAGTTTAGTTCAATTTTGCACATCCGAAAACGAATAGAAAAACTTCTACTGTTATCATCAATTTTCGTATCTGGAAAACGTTCGAAACGTTCGAAAAAGATGATGTCATTTGAAAGCAATAATTGCAACTTATTTGCTCAGGCTAAACATTTGAAAGCATGTATGCGTAGTTGGCAGTGGCTGAGCGTGTAGATGAGTTTGCCGCTATTTGTTAGCTTCCAGGAGGTGCCGAATTCCGTCAGGCGCTTCCTAATTATATTTTATTTCTTTTGAATCGTGAAAAATTATTTGTGAAGTGCAGTAGGAAAGCGTATTGAACGAAAAATTCAATCAGACAAATTTCAGAAGAAACAGCCGAAAACGTATTCGTTTCACATACTGTTGTTTGTACATACGTTTCTGCCGCACACGTTAGTGGGAAAACGGATCGTCAAAGTATCCGGAAATGGAATCAGTAAACGGACAAAAATTCGCACTTCATCCACTTTTTTGTCCTTTCCCGAATCGGTTTTCGGATTTTTGCTGGCTGGGTATGTACATACATATATGCATGTGTATATGTTGAAAGAGAAAATAAATAAAAAGCCTGGTAAAATACAATACCCTGCAAGAAACATACTGGTAAAACTACTTGTAATTTTACCTGGAGCCGTGACTGAAAGTTTCCGTAAATCCTTCAGTAACATTGTTAAGAGCTTTGGGACGTTTTTGACCGTTTCCTTCCATTTCATACTTATTTGTGTGTTTGTACATACTGCTCTTACTCATAGGTTATGAGCATGGCCAACTGTATAGCCGCACCGCTCATTCACGTCATCAATACTCGTTGATTTTCTAGTCATTTGGCGAGGAGATTTTTAAGAAATTTACTATCGTATTGACAGTAATGTTACGAGAAAATGTCTGACCAAAAGAGAGTAAAACTCCAAGTCATTTAAAAACCATTTTTACCGACGGTTTACAGTAAAATAATTAGACAAATTTCAATGTAGTTTACTTAACATAAACCAATAAAAACCAATTTATTTAAAAATAAATATGCATTTATTTTTCATTTGAGTATACATACGTATATCAAGATCATTGTCATTTTTATATCTATGATATAGAATACACTTGTCCGTATCTACAAATATACTACTATTTAATTGCTTTAATTTTATACTATTAGTTATTTTAATTCATAAAAAATTTAATATTGGCTTTAAGGTTTTCTTACATTATTTCTAAGTTAAATTATTGCTTTTAGGTATACAATATTATTTACTTTATTTAATTAGAGAATTTAGGATTTATTATAAGTTTTTGTACTTCTTTATAAGTTAAGTTATTGTTTTTAGGTATACAATATTTTTTTGCTTTAGTTAATTAGAGTATTTAAGACTTATTATTAGTTTTTGTACTTCTTTATAATTAAATTATTTTTTTAGGTATACAATATTTTTTTGCTTTAGTTAAGTAGAGAATTTACGATTTATTATTAGATTTCCTACGTTTTTTATAAGTTATATTATTGCTTTTAATTTCTTACTATACCATAATTAAATTAATTAATTATAAATTATTGCTTTTAGTTTCTTATTATACAATATACAAATATACAATATTATTTGATACGCATTTTATTTATTATATTATTATTAATAGTTTATATTATATTTATTTATAACTACAGATAAGGTATTATACTAAGAGATCACATTTTATTTGTACTAATATGTTCATATTATATTTGAGATCACATTTAGTTTGTACTATTATTTATATTAGTTTGGTAGTCTCTTGATTAAGGTGTAAAACTAAACTTATTTGTCTAAAGCTAAGCTTATTTATAAAGGCATATTCCGTTTGTTAGATGAATAGCGTTTCTGCTTTTACCTATTATGGCTGTATTCGACGCTCTTTCGTACTTCCTTTTCAAACTCTATACGGCCCTGGAGTTTGAAAATATCTGAAAAAAAATAATTAAAAACATAACCAAAAATTCAGAAAATAAGTGAATAATATAAAAAACCAAACAGAGCCACGCTAACTATTTTCAACTTAGATAGCGATTTTCTGCCGCATCGACCATCACCGCTTCAATATCTCCTGAAGAGCCTTTTATGGTGAAAAGATATGATATCTGCAAAGAGATTTGTGATGATTAATAAATAAACATATGAACCGAAATAAAACTGGAAAATATAATATCTACTCACCATTCCGTCTTCGTAATTTTTTTCTATTAGCTTTTCCTCCAAATCAAAACCAGCATCTAAAGATTGCATTGGCATAAGAACGGCCAGTTCTGTGTGGAGATCTTCGCAGTTTCTCCGGATATGCGGCAAACACTCTGATGTACTTTTTTAATTAGCACTCTCGACTCACGCACGACTTTATGGTGAGCCATCACATCAGTTTTGTCAAGCATCTGAAATATATATGCAGTCAAAATTATGCAATGTGTTTTAAAAATATTCAAAGGTAAATACAACCCATGTCAAAATTATAAGGCGCATTTTGACAAGTTTTAACGAATCTATATACTTTATTCTCTAAAAAACCGTAAGAATTTCAAGGTTTTTAATTTGATTCCTTCGAAAAATTTTGAGTATGCAGTTTTGAGGCCCATTTAATTGAAGTAAAATAAAAGGTAAGTTTGAAGTAGCTGGGACTTACTGCTGATTTTTAGATTTTTTGTTTAAGGTTTTGCCCATTTTCTTCTATGCGGAATATGTGCGCTGATTTTTTTTATATGGACGAAATTACGCAACATCTTTAAAAAATTGCCAAAAATCAATAGTAAGTTATAGGTACATAAAACTTGCACCTTAAGGCACTTAAATTAAATGGGCTAAAAAACTGAATACATACTCAAAATCTTTCTAAGGAATCTAGTTAATAAACTTAATTCAGATTTATGTAGTTTTTTTAATGCTTCTGGTTTAGAAAGTCAAGTATTATAAGAATAACACAGGCCAACATCAGTGTCGCGCTGTGTAGTCACTTACTTTTCCTTCCAAGCTATCCAACCGGGTCTCCAAATTTGTTTGCTTTTGTAATATAATTTCCAACATGTCCATTACATCTGTAAAATAAAAGAATTTGTAGCTACCCCCATATACATACATAAATGTGCAATCATGTGTAAAATTTTTAGACCAATTAAATAAAGTGCTTTATATTACCTTTGTTTGTTGCTGAAATTTCGGCAACAACTGGTGTTTCAGTTGCTCCAAACACACTCTGGCTGTGACAAGATGTTAATACTAAAAAATATCTGGTTATTATAAGATTATTTTCTATTTCAATTGCTTACTTTGATTTGAAGAACAGGCGTTGAAGTCTAGGGAAAGTTGAAGCCTTTTCCTTTTTCTGTCCTTAGGGGTGGATGTGGCCGGGGGTGTCCAATTGAAAATATCGGCTTCCTCACTCATATTTCTCCAGAATTCGTGGCATGGTTAAAACAAAGAAAAAGAAAATGTGTTATTAATGGGAACAAGTAAATTTTGCTAATGTATAGTAGAATAAACTTGTATAACTACTGTGAAAGAGGTGATGTAATATTGGAATTAAAAGAAAATTATTTTCATAAGGTATGCAAAATTATTTGTATTTGATATTTTTTTTTGGAAACCGTATTATTTCATCACTTAACCCGCTTGCAAGCAAAATACTAAGTCCAGAAAAGGATTCAAGAGGCTCAATAAAGTAATTACTTATTTCTTTAAATTTGTATCCGACCACTACCTCCTCTTCTGATTCTATGCACATATCTATGACTTTGAAAGGTCCCGTATCTTCACTAAAACAAAACGAATTTTTCTCTTTTATATGATTAATGAAAAACGCATCAAGTTTTGAATGTTTATCTTCTATTAAATATTTTCTTTCGTCAATTCTCAAATACCACTGTTGCAAAATATTTGTGGGGGATTTAATAAGTTTTTTTAAGTGCTGCATATAATTTTCGAATTTGTAGGCCGAAAAAGTGTCTAAGGGTACATATTCTTTGGCACAATAAGACAAATGAAGAAGGCCGTGCAGGTTAAAACTTATTAAATGATCCCCATAAATATTTCCAAACAAATTAACAAATTCATTTAATAATTGCTGTACAATATTTGCTTCTACTTTGTAAGATCTTTCGGAAGAGAGAATACGTATACTGGCATGTAATAAAAGAAAATGGTAGTACAAATGTTCATCAACACAATTTTTCAAAACAAATATACCCGAGTATAGTAAAAATTGTTTATATTCAGTGGATCTCCAGTTTCATCAATATTTCTGCAAACTCTTCCGAATTCAGATGGCACCCAGACAGAAAGAAATTAAAGCTTATCATTCATTACGTTAACGTTTACTTTATTTACTAGAAGATGCAAGAGTTTTTTAACCACACCTAAATCAACGAGGTGCATGGGATCTAAAGGAAATTGAGAAACCATTCCAAAGCCCGCTTCTTCTAAAACATTTTCTTCTTCCCGAAATTTTACGTTATGGTGTGCCAAATCATTTCTATTTTTGAATGAAAAATCGGTTCTTAATTCACATAGTTTCTTAGAGAAGCATACCCTTTTTTCTAAATAATGACCTACTTGACAACATTTAGGGAGGCCCTTTTTCGCATTATGATTTTGAACCCCAGTCACAAAAGCTCTCGCGGGCGAATCACACGTAAATAAACGAACATTAAATCTTTTCAAAATGGGGTTAATCAAACCGACTTTTAAACCGTTATTTCTTAAACATACTACTTCGTCACAAAAATCTTTCATAAATTCATTAACATTGCTTGGTTTTTGTTTTCCTGAGAAGCAGGCAATAGTAAAAGGTTTTTCTTTTGGAAAATCAACGATTGAACCAAGAATAGGCCATAGTACTTTACTTGAACTTCTGAATAGCTTTAAACCATCTATTCCAACATCTATTAAAACTTGATCTTTTTCATTTAAAAATGGAAATGAACGAGATTCAAAATGCGTCTATTAAAACTTGATCTTTTTCATTTAAAAATGAAAATGAACGAGATTCAAAATGCGTTTGAATGCCAATATACGTAAATTCTCCACCCGAAATATTCTTAATAACCGATTTATTTTTTGTAGTTTCAAGCAGAGTTTTTGCTGATAAGGGTAAATCATGAATGCCTATTTTTCTTAAAGCGCTTAGCAAATCGCTCAACACTGCTTGAGACACATTATTTTCAATTGCCCATAATTTTAAAATTTTACACTTTTCTGCACTTGTTATACATTCTATTTCATTTTCCGACCGGCATTCTGAATCGGAAAATGCATTTCCTCATCATACTTCTTTCAGTAGGAGTCGAACCGACGATCCCACTGGCTCAGCCAGTTGCCTACGCACTGTGCTAAGTTCGCCTTGTTAATTCTTGTTGCTTATTTCCACTATTTCACTTGTTAAGCCAACTACAATCAAGCGCAGCTATTCCGCTGCAATTCACTTGATCATGTGGATGTTGGTTTTGTAGGTTTTTGTTAATATTTCTATTATTAGAATGCTTAACTTTAAGGTGTGCTCGTCCTTAAGTTATCAGTTTTTTTTTTGTTAAACGGTTTTTTTTTTAAACGGCCTCAAGCTCAATAAAAATTGTTGGATAAAATAAAATAAAATAAAGTTTTTAATATACTACGCTTTTATAAATGGTCCCATAGAATTTGTTGTGATAACCATTGATTTTGAAATTTTAGCACAAGTAATTATAAACAATTTATGAGATGTAATAGACTTGAATTGATGTGAAAATTAGTATATGTGTGTATGTGGATATATGAACAGCGATCGATCTCAAATTTGTACTTTAGCCCAGTAAAATTGGACTTTTTCTTAAAAAAAAATTGTAACAGGAATTTTTTGATGCAGTTTACTTCTATTTGACTCGTAGATCATGGATCCACAGTCTTGCCCCTAAATTTCATTTGGCAACATTCCGCCATCTTGGATTTAAGGTTTTTTGGGTTTTTTCCAATTTGCAACCTTATTTTGCATTTTTCGTAAAAAATGGTTAAATAGAAATATGTAGAGAATTTAATATCCCACGTTTGTTATATAGAAGGTTTTTTAAAACTAGCAATTTTTATTGTAAAAAATTTGCAAAAACTGCAAAAAAATTTACATTGTCACGGTTTCCGCCATTTTTTGACAATATCTGTTGAAAATACATAGCATATTGAAATTCCAAAGTTGTAGAGAATTTCATTCTTCACAACTTGTATACCTACATTTGTTTGGTACGACGCTTAGATCTCGGCCGGGAATGTGAGAAATATAGCGATTAGCCCAGAAAAATTAATTAAATTCGGTAGGAAAATTAAAAAAAAAAATTGTAACAGCGATTTTTTGATGCAGTTTACTTCTATTTGACACGTGGATCATGGATCCACAGTCTCGCCCCTAAATTTCATTTGGCAACATTCCGTCATCTTGGATTTTATTTTTTTAATGGGTTTTTTGCGATTTGTAAGTTAATTTTGCATTTTTCCTAAAAAAATGGTTAAATACAAATATGTAGAGAATTTAATTTGCCACATTTGTTATATAGAAGGTTTTTTAAAAATTGCTTTTTTTATTGTAAACAATTGGTAAAAACTGCGAAAAAAAACTACATTATCACGGTTTTCGCCATTTTTTGACAATTTCTGTTGAAAATACATATTACATATATACGTATTGAAATTTCCAGGTTGCAGAGAGTTTCATTCTCCAAAACTCTTGTGCCCACTTTTTTTTTGTACGACGCTTAGATCACGGCCGGGAATGCGGTAAACATAGCAATGTACGGGATGCGCCGTAAAACTGATTGACATATTTGTATTTAACAATTTTTTATGAAACATGCAAAATTAGCTTGCAAATCCCAAAAAATCCAAAAAAAATTAATCCAAGATGGCGGAATGTTGCCAAATGAAATTTAGGTGCGATACTGTGGATCCATGATCCACGTGTCAAATAGAAGTAAACTGCATCAAATAATCGCTGTAACAAATTTTTTTTTAATCTTCCTACCCAATTTATCTAATTTTACTGGGAAAATCGCTATGTTTATTAAGATCCCGGCCGTGATATAAGTATCGTACAAAAAAAATGTTGGTATAAAAGTTGTGAAGAATGAAATTCTCTAGTTTGGAAGTTTGGAATTTCAACATGTTATGTATTTTCAACAGAAATTGTCAAAACATGGCGAAAACCGTGACAAAATAAAATTTTTTTAGCAATGCTATTTTTAAAAAACCTTCTATATCGTAAATGTGGGAAATTAAATTCTCTACATATTTCTATTTCACCATTATTTACGAAAAATGCAAAATAAGCTTGCAAATTGGAAAAAACCCCAAAAAACTTAAATCCAAGATGGCGGAATGTTGCCAAATGATATTTAGGGGCAAGACTATGGATCCATCATCTACGTGTCAAATAGAAGTAAAGTGCATCAAAAAATCGCTGTTAAAATTTTTTTCAATTTTCCTTCCAAATTTATCTAATTTTACAGGGCTATTGCGCTGTAGAAATTTTAGGTCTATGTTATGTCGTTTGACTATTGTCAATTAAATCTAATGCTTTGTATGGCATGCGCTCTACTTTTTTCTTTTTCAATCTCATAAATTGTTTATAATGAATTTTGCTAAAATTTCAAAATCAAAAGTTATCACAACAAATCCCATGGGACTGAGAAACATTATTTTCTACTTTTTAGTTCATTTATAAAAGCGTAGTATATTATAAAGTTTTTTTTTAATTTTATTTATTTTAACTACAGCCTCTATGTATGTAAGAGCGCCCTAACACCCATATATACTACATACTCCCATATGTAGTACATACATCCATATTTACCCCATGATCAGTGTTGCCAAACATGGGCTTTTCCTACCAAAACTGGAATGGATTTTGGTAAGTTCCGGGACAATAATAGTTACTTGCGAAAATTATAAAATATGTATCTTCAAGCACTTTAGAAACCTTGTTTACACGAATATTTCACCAGTGAAGTCCACCATTGTCCAACTGAAAGAGACTTTATTGTAAGACTTGAGGAATATCACCAAAACTAACCTACTGATCTTTCAATATGGTAGTAAGACCCGTTGTCACATTTGCGGCACTGGCCTGGTGACCAAAAGCTACGCAAGTAAAGAAGGTTTTCACCTTTAGCAAGCTGCACCGACTGGTCCAATTGGCCATTACAGGAGCTATGGGCACCTGTCCAACGGATGCCATTGGTGTCATTACAGGCGTTTTTCTTTTGTCTATCCTGTTTGAAAGAGGCCTGCAGGTGCACCCTACGACTGCCTAATATGATCAGCAAGAAAATTTGGGATCTTCGAGGTCATTTGGAGGTTCTAAAGCCATTACTGGATAATCCCGAGTTATCTTTCTATAAACCCTACAAGATCAGAATTCCTGAAAGGGACTATGTGAAGTGATAATAACTACGATTGACGAAAGGTCCCAAGTATGGTATACCGACGGATCAAAGATGAATGAAGAGAGTACTGGGGCA